TTTTTGGGGAACTGTCTGGTTATAAACTAAATGCTAAATGGTAAATGGCCTGCATTTGTATAGCGCTTTTCTAGTCCCCAAGGACCCCAAAGCGCTTCACACTACATTCAGTCATTCACCCATTCACACACACATTCACACACTGGCGATGGCAAGCTACATTGTAGCCACAGCTGTCCTGGGGCGCACTGACAGAGGCGAAACCTAAACAAAACACAGGTAATGATACTAAACTATACAGCATCTAACACTTTATGAGATAATTATAATATAAATTGGGAAGCTGAAACACTTAAATACTTGGGAATAATTTTAACTAAGAATATTTCTAATCTATCACAAGTAAATTATGGTCCCTTGTCACAGGCCATAAAATTTGATTTAGATAGGTGGAATCTGGTGCCTTTCTTAAATTTAAACTCAAGGATATTAGCAGTGAAAATGAATGTATTCCCAAGACTCCTCTATTTATTTCGAATTCTGCCTGTTGAAGTAAGTCAAGCACAGTTTGGGGAATGGGACAAATGGATTTCGCGCTTTATTTGGCATGTGAAAAAACCAAGAATTAAATTTAGATCGTTACAGTTAAGCAAGGCAAAAGGGGGGGGGGGCAATGCTCCCATGCTTACAATACTACTATTATGCATCTCAGGTCATTCCCCTGCTGCAATGGTGTAACCCGAATTTGAAAGCTAAGTGGAAATCCATAGAATTCAATACAACCCCTAAATTCCAACTACAAGCCTCAATTGCGGATAAAAAATTGGCAGACCGTTTAGAATATAAAGGACCATGGACCACACTTTAAGAATATGGAATAAAGTGACTAAAATATGTGGTAGTGAATGAATACTAAAAGTATTTAGATGGTGTGCTTATGACACAGATTTTAAACCAAATGAAAGTGATAATAGATTTCAGTCCTGGATAAAGAGTGGACTAACAATATTCCATTCCTTCACACATAAAGGGACACTACAGAGTTTCCAGTTTTACAAATAAAAAATGGCTTAAGACAAGTAGATTTCTTCAGGTTTCTTCAAATGAGGGATTACTTTAATAAACACTGCAATATCCCAAACCCAAATATGGTTGAGTCAGAAATTTTTAAGATAGTTAAATTAGCATATGATAGTTCTCTGAGAAAGGCAATCTCCAAACTATATGATGTGCTCCTTCAAGCAAGGAAGGATACTACTCAAAATGTTAAGATTAAATGGGAATTGGAATCGGGGATGGGTATAACAAATGAGAACTGGGAGAGGATTTGTAATTTTCATTGGTACTCAACAAGTTCTTTATCTTGGAGAGACCAATGTTGGAAGAACATTATTAGATTTTTCAAAACCCCTCATCAAACTAAATATAAAAATGGGACAGCAGAATGCTGGAGAAGATGTGGATCAGAAGAGGCACATCATTATCATATCTTTTGGGACTGCCCTAACTGAAAAAATTACTGGCTGGGAATCCATAAAACTTTGTGTGAGGTTTTTAAGATAAAATTTGACATCAATTTTGTAAATTTGTACTTGGGCTTGGTTGCTGGCTCGGTCCGGGGAGGGGACACAAAACTCTTACAAGCGCTATTAGCAGCCAGCAAAAAATCAATAACCAGAAAGTGGTTAAACCCAACTCCGCCAACACTTGAGGATAATGTGGTTTTCGAAATATTTAAAATGGAAAAATTGACATTCTTTTTAAAAATTCGGAAAGACAAATTCTGCAAAATATGGAATAAATGGATTAGCTTTGTGTCCCCCATCTGCCCTGAATTTAGGTAAGACCAGCCCTGAATTGGTGTATCTTGGTGGATCTCCCATGTATCGTACAATGTCAGGTTGACCCTCAACTTCATAATATGTACCTAATGTAGTTTTTGTAAATAAGTTAAACATGCTGCATTATGTAACACATTGTCAAGCCAATGAGTTAATTTTATTTTTTTGCTATCAGAATGTAAAACAAAAGGACTAAGAAAAAGGGTTTTGTTTTTTTTTTGTTTTTTCCTTCTCTCTTTTTTTGACTAAATAATGTCAATGCACTTTATTGTAACAAGTCCCTTTTTTTTCTTCAATAAAAATATAATAAAAAAAAAAAAGGAAACTACAGTCCTCTCACCAAGGGAAACTCCAGACTCTAGTCCAGCTTCTCTCCAGGAGACAGAGCCCAAACTGTAAGTCCGACCATATCTAGTTAGTATCTATCTCTCAACCTCAAGCACTAGCTCAGGCTCCTTCCTCAACACAGGTTCCATGTCCCAACAGGCAGGGATAGGTCCACCGAAGACCCCGCTCTTGACCACCAATCAATACACAATAATCCAACTCCTACGGTGCCTCCTATGGGTAGTGGACCCGCATGAGGGCAGGCTCATGTAGCTTGTTAGGGCTGCACATGGCTTGGCTTCATGGACTAAGGCCCAACCACCAGGTGCTCTCTGCCACGCTCCCTCCCCAGGACGGCTCCAGGGTGGAGCCCGGGTAACCCTTTTCCGGGCTGGATACACCAGTCCATTGCTTTTTTAATCACTCTTAATAGTTGATAGAATTGGCCGAGTGAGCAAAGAGTATGATACACCAACAAAATTCTCAGTTGAAATACACTCTCTCCATGACATTCATGACAATGACAAAGGGTTCCTGTAGCTCATGTGGTAGAGCAGGTCTCTTACTAACTGGAAAGTTTGTGGTTCAATCCCAGTCTGTAATTTCCTTGTGCTTCTTCTAGTATACTTCATCTCTATTCTCTACCATCAGCCAAGCAAGCTGATTCATTCACCATACACACATGGATCACTCTCCAACAAAAACCAAAGCAGCTAAAATTGATCATCAACTTATTTGGCTACTTAACTGACCAGATCAATATCCCAGAAGTTTCATCGACTTGACAGTATAGTCTGATTAAAAAGTTTTCATTCAATTTCTTTGAACACTATATTCTTTTTACATGTGAAAAACACCACCTTCGAGGGCCCCACCGACTGTCTGCTCCTTGCATCTGACTGCCAGCAAAAAAATCTCTACATATGATATAGATATAATATCTCTAAACAAAGATGGATCTATCAACAATCACAAATAATAATAGCTTTATTTGTATAGCACTCTTCAAAACACAGAGTTACAGTTATTCACAGTTTAAATAAAAGCCATACATTAAAGATAATTACACATATTTCACCACGCAGTCAGACATTCATTCCAACATACATACATACTTGCAGAGATGCAAATGGCTGCATACTCAAAAAAAAAACCCAGAAAGCTAGAAAGATAATCTATAAACATGTGTTTTCAGCAGAATAAAATCATAAAAACAAAATAAATGAATAAAAATCACAGAATCACAGCAAACCTCGCCTCAAGTTTTAAAATCAGACAGAGGGACAGTCCAGAGACCCCAGCTAGAGTATCAGAGAGGCTGACTGCAGTGATATCATAAGCTCTGTCTTGAGTGTTGTTGTTGAAGCTCTCTATGCACTGTTCTTGAGCTAATATGAAGGCCACATGAAGTCTGAATGTCTGTAACTCTCAACTCTGCATGTGGTTTATAAAAAACTGTAGTTTCCTCATTCTGAAGAGGTGAATTCAGAATGTGTGTGCGTGTCAATCAGGTTGTGTAAAGTGACAGCACTAGGCCTTTGCCAAATGGTGTAAGGCTGAAATTAAGTGCCTTTATAAGGTACTTGGCCACAGAGTGATTGGCAGAAAGCGATAACATCAAAGAACAGGTGTGCTTAAATGAGCGCCTGTGGGTTTTCCCCTGGTTTATTTCTTAGTGCTGCTGAACATCTTCCAAACAGATCAGTTCCTGTTTTACACAATGCTACCTTTGTTTTTACTAAAACCTGTTTATCCTCTTACTGTTCACCACTTACGTGACACTATTCCCCTAAAAGTAAATACTGCCCACAGATTGAAGGCCATGGCAGAGGTTTGCACTCTGAGTGCTTCTTGCTTGTTCTGAAATTGCTGTCAGTCGTACTTTTACGTTTCCTTTAACTTAACCTGATTTTTATTTTCTTTGGGGATTTTTTGTTTTAATCATTGTTGTATTTATATAAAATTTTATTTCTTTATTCTTTTGATCTTCCTGCTGTAACACAATAATTTCTGTTGTGGGATCAATAAAGTATCTCTCTGTCTATCTATAGAGTGATCCGTGGACGTTGTGGATTTATTATCAGGTCGGATTCAACTCTGTTTCCAACTGTTTACACCTCCATACGCTGAATGTTGCTTCTTTGCATTACCTTCTGGGTACTGCATCTTCTCATATATTAGCCTTCCTTGTTGGTATAGCGGTAAGTATCCCCACCGGTTGGACCTGTGCTAGATATTTGTTTGATGCCTCGATGGAGAGATTTTTTTTGAGTAGCATTCAAATATCTCAGTGAATACAGAATAAAGATTACCACAAAGTAAGAAAGCACAAGACAAGGCTAATCAAAAGGTATAGGCTGAAGCATATGCTTATTACGCCAACCCTTTCAACCCATGCGGCTCCTTTACACAGGGCTCGAAGCAAAGAAAAAAACAAAGCAAAGCAACAAAACAAAAAAACAAACAAAAGACAAAACAAAAAACGTTCCACCTTAGATAAGCAACTACATCAAAGCAAAACAACCAAGAGTTTCAGTATTATTATTATTATTATTATTATTATTATTGCTCTTTTCATTCTTGATTTATATATTTTTCTAATACTCTATTTTTAAACATGTTTTTAAACAAGGAAAATGAACTACACCTTTTTAAATCACTGTCATAACTATTCCACAAGTTAACGCCTCTAGAAACACATATTTGCTTTATGTTTGTCCTTATCTTGTTTGTGTGTTTTTTAAAGAAACCTGTTCCCATATTGACTTTCTCTGACTTTAAACAGCTTCTGAGTACTGTGGCAAAGCAAGTTATTTTGTGCTTTATACATTATCTGTGCCATTTTATATTCAACTAAATCATAAAATTTCAGGGTATTCAGATTAATAAACAAAATGTTAGTTGGTTCTATATAGTTGGAGATAATCATTCTCTTACTTAATTGCTAGGAAGGTACCATGTGGGTGTGCATACTGTGGGTAGCTTTTGAACCATCCTATTATTCCAGGGTTTTTCTACTTTTCCACTTTCACCACTGGTTAACTCACAGGGTTTACTGCTTAATGAGGGTTAATGGCAGTAGATACAGTGTAATCATTTTTCTATAAAATTATATTACTATACTGTATAAGAGTATTAACTACATTACAAATGTATCCTCTGTCCCGTAGGTAAAAAATGCAAAGCCCCGGTCACTCCAGTCACTCACAACAGACATCGTTATTCAAAGAGCTGTGATATTTGGGGCACCTTGGATGGAGCGTGCCTGTATTTTTGAGCCTGTTTGCTCAGGCTGTTAAGTTGCTCCAGCTTCAGGAAGGGATTCCACAGGAATGAACACTTGTCCTGTTAAAAAGAAGAGCATATTTATCATTTTAACAACTCTATTGGTCAGATTTACTAAGTTAGCAAAACTTAATATTGTTGCAACCACAGAAAAGGCCCAATTTATGAACACAGCAAGAGCAGCATAGAAAAAAATGATGATGATGATGATGAGGCAACAGATCTACTTAATAATGATATGCACTGTAGTAAGAATAGGAACAGGATTTTTTAAGGATTCTCTTGAAAACAGAAGGTTAAAGAGACAAAGTCATGAAAGTTACTGAGTGCTGGGCACACCGAGGCTTTCAGTCTTAGATCAGAATATGTTATGTTATGTACACTTCTAACAAACTCCTTACTTTGACACACAGTGATGTATGCAGCAGACTTCTTATTATAGTAGATGATTCCAGATATTGCAATAACAAATCCAGTCACGAGTCCGCACAGTCCAACAGCTATCTGAGTTCGTTGTTCCACTGGGAGGGAGGGGTCTGAAACAGTGAGATAAAAGTGAAACTCGTAATTATGCAGCTTCAGTTTTATCTCTCTACCTTTAATTGGCATCACAGCAGCAAACATACCCCAGACCACAAACATCGGCTCGGAGAGACCAAGGTGTTCGACCATACAGGCAATTTTTTCTGCTGAAGTTGGGATGTACTCCAGGTAGGAATGAGTCTGGTAGTACCAGTCACCATCAGGCATCACGTCAGAGTAACTGACATCTGTGGTCACCTCCTGGCCGTTCCTCATCCACATCATTCTGATTTGTTTTGGATAAAAGTTGTAGGCACTGCACACAAGCGTAGATGCGTGCTCGCCATTAGGCCTTTTCACTGATTTTAGTCTGACAGTGGGTATAGTTGTCAAATTATCTAAAAAAACACAAGTTCAATGCTTATGATTAAGAAAAATACATTAATACACCTCCTCTGTGAACAGATGTATTCCTTAAATATATGTAATGTATCGTAGAATCGTTGTCAATTATGGCATACTTGGAAATCAACTGTAATGTCATGCAACTGAGCAAAACAAATGAAGTACTATTTTTATTTACAGTAAAATAAATATAATAATCTTATGTCATCAAAAATTATCAGAAAAATATTTGATGTAAAAATTTCACGGCATCAAAACTCCATTCAACATTTTAAAACATTATTAAGAAACAAATCTCTTACATATGGATTGGATGAGGTCTGATGTGTCCGTACACAACAGTTTCCTTTCAATCTTTCTTGTTAGTGCATCAAAGGGATCACTGTTCCACCATTTTGCTGTTTCAATTGAATACGCTGTGAATCCCGTCCAGTTGCCTCTTGTGCTGTTGTACTCCATCATCAAGTTCTTATTAAAAATACTAGTTAATATGTACTCGGTTTTTTCAAAGTGTGGCCCTTTGAATGTACAGCATGCTCTCACTTGGTAAAAGTCTTCATCTGTGAGAACTGAAACAAAAAGAAAGAAATGTACTGACGTTAAACATAATAATTCGAATTTAATATTTCACTGATTTGTTCAAACAGAAGACCTTTGCAGCTCACCTGGACTGAAAAGAGAGGCAGCCACAAACAGGATAAGCTTACGAGTGTACATGTTGCATGTGTGTTGTACGACGATTCAGGAAGATGACTTAATCTGCAGCATTTATATGTTCACCAAAACGAGGAAGCGAAAGCAGATAGGCTGATATAACAGTAAAACACTCAGTGGAAACTCCCTCTATCCATTACATTTATGACAATAACTGATAATGATTATGACTTTGCTCCTTTGTTTAGCTAGCTCTTGTTTGTGCACTAATACTAGATGAAGTGACTTCTGTGGACAATCAAACTGTTGTTTGACAATCAGAAACAGTAGAGAGATGTGGGAGCATTTTATGTTGAGACTGTAAAGAAGAATGTTTTGAACTGTAGATTAAATGTGCATAAATTATAAAGATTTGACATGTTGGTTAATTAAGTTCTGTTAGATTTTGTAAATGGATGATAAGCAGATGAAAAATTCATATAAAGAACCCGACTCTAGCAGCAAATGAATGTTTAGAGCTTAAAATAGATTACAGAATTCAGCCTACAGATATGCTTTCACTTTTATAACAGCTCTTGTGAAAAACATTACTGAAATTTTCTTGTCGGTAAAGTGAACTGTATAACAAAACCTCATATTCTGTCGCAAAAATAAGGCACCTAAATAATCTCTGCAACTATACAAACTTCTTAAAAACTATTTTCCAGAATGTTTTCACTTGTATTGGTTTATTTATATATTTTTTAAACTTAGTTTTCACATCTGTGTAAATAATAGTGTAGTAATTAATAATACTTATGAAGTGTGATGACTTACAATCAGGTAGATGTCTCAGCAACAATGTGTTTAATTCGTTTATGGATACATTCTTTTTTCTAGTCTGGTTTTTATTTTATTTCAGTTGAAAAAAAAGAACCCCACAATTAAGTCTTTTTTCTCATTCTACTTGGCATAATGCGCCTAATATGATTTTAGAGTTATGGATCATTAGTGAGGCATATTTCAGCGCTAGAATACCAGTAATGCAAACTTCAAGCTCTGCACTAATGCTAAGAACCAAAAATGTGCTGCAGCGTGTCACATCTAAAAGTGTCGTGTGAAAAGTGCTGGTATCACCGTTCAGCTTTACTGCACAGTATTAATAGTATGAAAGAGTTTTATTATAGAAACACTGACACATCAGCCAAAGAACTACTGCTTTATTTTTTAACTAGAAAGACTTAAATCTGTGGGACTAGTGTATTCATAATGGAAAATGTCAATTGTCGCTGGTAATTTTAACACAGCATATGAGCCATTACACAAGGAATGAAAATAAGAGACAGTTCAGGTTTCTCAGTAAACACAGATGAAAGTTATGCCTGCTGGAAACAAACCAAGGACTATGCAATCTGAGCTCTATAAAATATGTAGTATACATCTCAACCAGTGGGACCAGATTTCCCTGCTTTAAAAAAAAAGTAGGTTCCTATGAAAACTCCAATAACTCCAAGACTCAGGCCAAGTCCACAGAAGACATCTGGACCATTACTAGGCTCATCTGTTTGAACCTCTGCAGAGGACAGCAGAAAGAAATGATGAATTCTAGACATTAAATCGTAATATATGTGCTAAAATATCTGAAGCTTCTTTGTTCTCACCCCAAAACTTGGTCTGAGGCTCGTCCAGCAATTCATGTTCCACAGTGCAACTGTAGATGTCTCCTTTCTCTGGCACAAAGTTGAAGTAGGACAAAACATAAGCAGTCCCATCAGGATTGGACAAAGTTTTGATGAAAGGGTCTTCCACTGTTACTTCTACATCATTCTTGGTCCACTTAATGTTGATCGAAGGAGGAAAGAAGTGGTTGATGAAGCAGATGAGGGTATTATCTTCCCCTGTTATCACTTCATCTCTGGGGTAGATGATGAATTCTGGTGGTTCTAAATTAAATGAACACATGATTTTCTTAAATTCAACTTTCTCGTTTAAAAAAAAAAGATCTAAAAAACTTGCAGCATAAACAGTGAAAACTGAACAGGAAACATAACAGTTTGAGTTTCACTGACCTTTTTTCTTTATTACAGACTTGTCTGGCTTCCATCTGTAGATGTCATTTTTGCACATACTTCGATATAATACTGCATATTTGTAGGCGCTGGGTAAATGAAAACTTACGGGAATTTTGCTCTCCCAAATCAGAAGATCTTTTTTAAAGTCTGCATAGTATACGTCATCACCATCGAATGCTGCACAGATTTGAGTATCACTTGAGTCAAAACATCCATAGATGTGACAAAGTGTATGACTTCCTAGGATCAAGTGACAACACAGTTAAAAACACAGTGTTAATATATTCTAAATTACAAAAACAATAAATCATAAACACAGCTTACAACATGAAAGTTTACGGATTAACCAGTAATGGGAAATAATGATACCTACCTTCAGCCTCGACGCAGGCTGCTGTAGACAAAATAATTATGGTTTTAAGGAACATATTCAGTCTGTACTTCTCGGTGTTCTGCCTTGTCTTTAGTATCAAAGTTGACGCTGATACAAGACAACTTCCTCATTGTTAAACAAATCATATAAATGTTGCTGGGAAGAGAACAGGAGGAGGGGAAGAGTCAAGTAGAACTTGTTGAACAGCTTAAACTAAGATAAATACAGTTTATTGAGCAAAAAATCAAATCCAAATGAACACATTCACTGTGGATACTGTTGGGTTTTTATGAGAGCGAAGCCAAAAATGCTCAAATTATCAGTTTTCACAATTTATAATTAAACATTTAGAATTTCAAATTAGTTTTACATGGTGCCGTGGACCTCCGTCTCTCTGGCTCAGAGACAAAATGCTGCTATACTCAGGCAGTAAAGACTTTTATTGCGTGTGGTAAAACCAGAATGTTAACATGATTGGTCAGCAGTTGGAGACTTTAGACCCTGTGTATGCCGGCTTGTACACATACACGAGAGACACGAGAGTTCTTCTTTACTTATGTTTACTGTGCTTCTCTAAACGTACACAGGTACACCGTAGAACTGGTGATTACAATTGTACAAGAAAATTATATTCCAGCCTTTAAACATATTGCAATATAAAATTCACAAAATATAAACAAACATACCACTTTGGCCTGCAAGTGGACAAACCAGTGTATTTTGAGCTTAGGACTTGTTATCGCTTCTTTGACATTCACACATCTCGACTGTCACCATGAGCAGCTTCTTTGACCTTTTTTTCCCAAAACAGGAAGTGGCCTCTGGCCTTACCTTAAATGTTAACATGCTCAACATAAAAATAAAACATACAAAATAAAATGCGTTAATTCAAATTACATTATCATTACAAGAGCTCTGCCTAGTGGTCAAGTACTAACAATCCAACAGCTGTTACACTATGTCTGACTCATGTTTCTTCTTCTGCACCTTTTTGGACATTCCCTAACACCAGAATTCATAGCCCTGTTGTTCTCTAGACAAGTCAGAACTAAAGTTTTATACCTTGTGGTGACATCACCAGTCCTGGCGGATGATCCCTCTCACACATTCCTCAGAGAAGAAGGCTTCTCTCTTCTTATGGCTGTTAGTATCTGAGTCTAAATCCAAAGCTATCCTACAATGCATATCTGTGTGCAATATAGGATCAAACATAATATATATCACATATATATATATATTCTAGCTCTTTTTTTTTGTGTGAAATTATTTTTTTTAACCATTTGACTTGAAGTTGATTTAAGTAGATACAAATTTAGGTAATTGTGTAATATAAAATAATGGGAGTACATGAGCTTAGCAGATACAACAGATGGTAAGTGTTGATGGCTAAAGTTGAGTCTACTCATCCTCCATAAGCTCTAATTCATAATCTTTACAAGCGTGGCAGAAGAATAGGGTTGCCAACTCCCTGAAAAATAAATAAGGGACACCTCGTTGCCAGGGCCGGGCAACCCAGTTGTCTTCACCCTTCCCAGTGTGGTGAATTTTCTAGCTCTTTTTTTTTTTGTGTGAAATTATTTTTTTTAACCATTTGACTTGAAGTTGATTTAAGTAGATGCATATTCTATTCTTTGTGATATGAACACATGTGAAACAAGTGATCATTTAGCCATTTATTTTTAGCTCAAAATGACAACATTAACACAATAAAACAGGTCTCCTTCTTAAACAGAAGCCTGTCATTGTCATGGTCCTGGGCCATGTGGGCCCAGTATTCTCAGTTCCTTGTATTTTTGTATTTCGTTCCTTATTTAGGTCTTGTTTCCTGAGTTGTCCTGTTATGTTGTTCCTTATTTGACTTCCCCTTGTGACTCTTATCCCCTGTGTGCCCCTCTATGTATCTGTGAGCCCTCATCTCCCCTCGTGTTTCATTTCCATGTTTCCCCAGCCCACTATGCCCGTGCTCTCTCTCTCCTCCTGTTTGCACCTCTGTGTACTTCCTGTTTTACTTTGACAGTCTCCCGTCAGTGTTGTTTACTCCTGCCATGTCTTGTTATGTTTATCTGTGTCAGCTGTGTTCCCATGTGTGGCCACTTCCCCTGATCATCCCTCTTGTGTATTTAGTCTCTGTGTTTCATGTAGTCTGTGTCGCGTCGTCTGTGTTTCCACCCTCTATGTTTCCATGCCCGGTCTATTGTATTCTTAGTCATAGCTTTACCTTAGTTATCCCCAGTTTAGGTTTCTGTTTAGCCACGCTATCCCTGCTGTATTTGTATACCTTGTCATCAGCCACAATAAAAGGCTCGCTTTTGTTTAAAGTTCACTCCCGTCTGCTCACCTGTGTTCGCACCTGGGTCCACCATACACACCACCGCAGGGTCTGTCACAGCGGACCGTGACAGTCATGCTTAACTTTTGAGAATATAAGTAAATCTTTCTTTAAAAGAACTCTGTCCTGCTTAACTTAAAATAATAGAAAGAAAAACATTCTTGTAACAGTGCACATTTAGTGCATTTAGTACAACTGGCTTCAGCTGAGGTATTATTTCAGCTTTTCTAATGCTAATCAGCTGTTCCTGTTTGTAAACCCGCTTGATCCCATGATTACGCATCTTAACTCATCATCATTATTCATCTATGTATTA